TATATATATATATATATACATAGATGTATATATATATAATTATATATATATATATAATATATATATATATATATATATATATATATATGATATATATATTATATATATATATATATATATATATATATATATATAATATACATATATATATAAATATACATATATATATATATATATATATATATATATATATATATATATATATATATATATGTATATATATACATATATATTAATATATATATATATATATATATATATATATATATATATATATATATATATATATATATATATATATATATATATATATATATATATATATATATATATATATATATATATATATATATATATATATATATATGTGTGTGTGTGTGTTATGTGTGCATACATATATCTAATAATATGCATGCACACACACACATATATCATACATGTGCATGTATGTCTGCATGTATGTATATTTCGTTTCATGTTTACTTCTGTAATACACAAGGTGCGAGAGACATCACACGTTTATTTCAAATTTTATTGCAGTTTCAATAGAAAATAGGATTATCACAGAAAAGTGTCCATGAAAATATAAATGTTCAATAAATGATGCTCGTATGCTAAATAGAAGACAATATGAAGTGTCAATGATAATATTGTACGATGTAAAGGCCTATTACCGTGCGATTTTATAACTGCAATTTCCCTTCCGATTAAACTGGTGCTTGAAAGTCCAATTAGATAATAATGATTGGCTGATCCCCGAGCATCCTGTAGTTCCTGCTTGACTTAGTCCTCAGCAATGGACTGACCACGGCGCAAGTTAGTGAATTCCTCCACTTCGATATCGGCAGACTGAGTCTTGCGCAGTGGAGCCTTGACGGAGGCAGGGTCGGGGTGCACCAGCTTGAAGGGAAGGTCGGCAGTCAGGTCGCCGGCAATGGCGCCGCAGTTGAGCTTGACGCGGACAGAATACGACACGATGATGCCCAAGGCGTCGTTGACGTTCTTACCTTCTGCCACCAAGGTAGACGATGCCAAGTTGGCGTCCTGGTCCTTGACTTGACCGTCGAGGGCGATGCCGAAGCGTCGCTTGTTGACGGAGGCAACAGGGTTGAGGGAGAAGGTCTTGGTGAGGTTGCATCCTGGGGTGATGGGACATCCTTCGCGAGACTCGAGTGAAGCCACAACTCGGCTGAAGTGAGTGTTGGTCATGGTGACCTCCACGTGCTGCACAACCTCAGCCTTCATGTTCTTCACGGTCTTCTTGGACACGTTGTTGACGGAAAGCGTTGCCTCGATGGGCTGTCCATGGAAGTAGACATCCTGAGGCAGAGTGACCTCGAGGTTGAGCCTTCCTGGGGAAAGAGTGAAGCCCTTGCTGACCAGGGTCTGTGGCTGACGGTTGCTGGATCCAGGACAGGCGTACTGGACCTTTCGGACAGCAAAGCCGACGGAGTTCCGCTTGTGAGGACGTTCCTCCTTGCGGTCAGCAACGTACAGCCTGAGATCGTAGATCACACCAAGAGGCTGGGTCTGTTTCAAAGAAATGGGAAAATAATCATATAATTCCAACAATTTTTTTTTTCGTAAGTAATATTAGCCATAGAGAGTTTGAGTAGTTGATATGTCTTTCGAATTTTTGCTAATAAGAAGGAAAAAAGCATGCAAGTAAAGGACAAAATACGTACAGAACCCTCACTCCCGCCGTCGAGGGAGACGGAACAGGGGGCGTTCTCCGGAAGGTTGACGCTGATGGGGTAGGCGTTGGCACCCAGCTTCTTGATGAGTCGTTCTTGGGCGTCGGTCATTTGGACGTCTCCAGCATGGGGAGCGACCTCGGTGTTGACGAGCTCGAGCTCCTTGCTGAAGTGAAGTCCCATGACCTCATCCTCCTCGCGGCCGTAGCGGTAGGTGACCGCCACGCGCGCGAAGACCCTCCTTCCACGCAGGTAGTCATGGTCCACGACAACCACACCGTCCACGGGGGAGGTGTGGCTGACGTGGTCCACGAAGTCCCGCCGACTTAGATACGCAGTGACCTTACCTGGGGAAAAGAAACAGGATCATTGTTCCATTGTCACATTTGTTATAGACATTTACAAAGCTGCTTGCCATTGCATATAGTGAGTGTGGCATTAGTATTACCATTAGGTGAAGTCTTTTTGAAGACCTTAACAGCGTTGACCATTAAAATGGTTGTTGGTAGACTCGGAGGAGTGTGTGAAGTCCCGAAGACTGTCGGAGAGAAGCTGATGCCGAGCAGCGTTGAGGCCGGTTCTTATACGGCCATGCAGGCGTAATGGGATTAGTAGTCAGACGGCGACACTTCCTGGGAGTTGGGTGTTTTTGTTTTCTATTTCTGACCATGCCATTTGTTAAATAAAGGAAATGTTTAATTACTAAGTATGCAACCTGAATCATGGGATTTGCAATTGTATTAATCGGGATCACTTAGCCCTTCGACATATTTAGAAATTGGTGCATTATATCCCGGACAACATTACAACTTAATGGATGACGCGATAATTCGATTCGGTATGTCACGTGCCGAAATAGGTGGGGTCTTTTTCATAAAGCATCCTTATCTCATGCTTTTGATAACAATTAGTACAAGCTTGTCACACAGAATGAGCAAATTAACAATAACCCGAAGGATGAATTTTGCCGTATATACATTTTTTATTTGGGATCTTATATGAATGACTTTACGGCTAATATCAAGTTTTAGTATTTAATTTTGATACCGAGTTAAATGGAAACCTGTTTTCTTCTTTAACGATAGCCAAACGCTTCATAGCAACATTCTGCAGAGATTTAAGCCAGACGGAGGCAAGGGAAATGTTGAGTCCATGAAGCAGGGGCGTCATTTGGGGGGGGGGGGGGGGGTGAGGGGTAACCGCCCCCGAAGACTCTATCCCCCTCAAGGTCTGGCTTGCTTTCCTCCCTAAGGGATTCCCCGCTTTTTGTCTAAATTCCCTCCTAGAATAGTCCTCCAGTTGACTGTTCACTTCCCAATCTTGCCCCCAAAAAAATGACGCCCCTGCTGTGAAGGTATTAAACAAAAATTGATTCCATGTAATCATACATTGAGCTCTTTAAAATTGTTTATGTAAAATATGTGGTATATGGAAGAATGCACTACAATATATATAATATATTTACATCATTATCAAAATTCAATACGGTTGCTAGTATATACCATCCGATATATTTAGAAAAATTATTGAATCATATTTTGGATATACAAACATATATGCAAACATACCCACTTCCACTGCATGCGCATATGTACTAGAAAATAATCTCTAATATGCGTATATCATGTTCTGTTATGAATGCAAAATTGCGCTATTCTTGAAATAACCCTGAACCAAAGTTATAACAACACAGGCGAACCTACTATCAAAATAAATGAAGAGAACCAAACGTGAAGTAAGTTAATAATCAAACAAAAAATATATAAAGCGTGCAATATTTCTAAACCAAACTTATCATGAAAAAAAATCATGTTGAAAATTAATAATTTTAGAAAGCATGTACATGGGTAAAAAAGGTGAATACTCGAAATTAAAACACTTTCACATGACAAACTTAGAGGATTGGAAAATGATAAAAAGGATTATTCAGTCACTAACTTGCTTAAGACACAATATGTCACTGCGATATTTAAGATGCATGCATCATTTCAGAGTGTAAGAAAACGAAAAAAAAAAAATTTCGTTTTGTACTTACTAGTCAACATTTATGTCTTTTTAAGGAGAGAAATATTGTATACAAAGGTTTACTGAAAGTTTTTGTATAATGTTCTTGAGCGAAACTATCGGATTGATAAGAGTTTTATATCGTTATATTATGGTGTTGCCATTCATTCTGGCATATTTGTGCAAAATACCAATGCAAACGTAAATTTGTTAGTCTGTCATAATTTTATATAGTTCTATATAGAGAGTGCATGTCATATATATATATATA